TTTTTTTTACAAACCTCCAACTAAAAGTGAAGTCTGATATTTGTAGTTATCTAAATGTAAAGAGGTGCAACATGTAATAGAATCAGAAGAAAGTGTGTCTATTATTTGGCATTGCAGCCAGTAAATCCCTCGTGGTGTACCATTTGTCAGAGCTTTGGACTCCGGCATTCCCCCGGAGGAGCTGGAGGAAGTGTCTGGAGAGAGGGAAGTCTGGGCATCTTTGCTTAGACTGCTGCCCCCGCGACCCGGTCCCGGATAAGCGGAGGAAAATGGATGGATGGATGGACAACATGCAATGATAACAGGCAAATATATGCACCAAAGAAGACAGAGAAGGAGCAGAGTGCTAGCAAACGAACATGGATTAACTACAAACTGTAATAAAAATGCACCGTGAAGTTTACATTTGAACATACAAAAGTTATGTTTACACAGTATTATTTCACAAAGTGCACAGTTTATATCCTTGAGGTCAGACACAGTATTTTGCCTGGGACTGTGAATGGGCAAATAGCGTAAAAGCGATGTTAGTGTGCTGCAATGTGTAGAAAAGTGCTATACAAGCATATGACCATTGAGGATGTTTTACATAAATGAAGGTTGGTGCTGTTAGGTATTTTTAGTGTTAGGTAATTTCTTAGTTAGATAGATATTCAGAGATTTGTTGTCTAGAAATGTTTAGTGGAGACAGGATGTCTAGCTCAGGCTGTTAAATGCTTAGTGATTTTGATGTGCCTGCAGACTGCATCTAGGCCAAGGTTAATTAAATCAGACAAAGGCTGCAGGCAAGGATGGTTGTTATTTATTAACTGTAATGCTAATCATAATATTTTTCTTAATGTGTAATGTCATGTCAAATTGTTCTTAGATACACACCACTAATCAACAGCCACACACCTTGACTTTTCCTCATGTTTTGACTATTGTTATGGTCAGCTGCAAGCTGGCATATCAGGTGACGTCACGGTTTGACGTGCCTGTGTAGAATGGGCTATCCCAACCAAATGATTTATATTGTATAGGTTCTTTGGTTCAGGGTCTTTCATCTTCCAAGCTGCCTGCGCACAGGTTTGGTGGTGGGAGAGATCTGGACGTGTAATGATAATTTTACCTGTGATCCTCTGAATAAACCAGCACGATTATTTTTTTTTTAAAATCTAAGTGGTCTAATTCGTCTTTGTGAGTTCCTGGTTTGAAAGAACCGGAAGGGCTTTATAATACAAATAGAGCCTATATTAGTCAGATAGATATTGGTTAGGTACTTGTATTAGGGATGTTTAGTGTAGACAGGATGTCTAGCTTAGGCTGTTAAAATGCTTAGTCATTCCCATGGGGGACTCCAGGTTGTTTATGCTCAAGGATAACTAGATAGAAAGTTGATTACTGTATGACGTGTTTAATCATAATCGTAATCATAATATCTTCTTAAGCTTAATGTCATGACGTGTCACTAGATGTCGTGTCAGAATGTCTTAGATACACATCACACAATCAACGGACAATCACACATTGATTTTCTTCATGTTTTGACTACTGCTCTGGTCAGCTGCAAAGCTGGCACCGGGAGACGTCACGGTTTGACGTTCCTGTGTAGTATGGGATTAGCCCAAAGTGATATAATGTACAGGCCTGTTGGGTTCGGGGTCTTTCATCCTTCAGCTGCCTGCGTGCATGTTGGAGGTGCAAGATACCTGAGCGTGTAATGTTAATTTTTACCTGTGTTCATGGAATAAATCAGCACTGTTTTGAAGTTACTTGGACTGCCTCGTCTCTCAGAGTTAGCATGGTAAAAAGAGCCGGATACAACATTACTCTGATGAACACTTAACCCACGACAGTATGATTAGACAATAACCCTCAGTGCAATACCTGTGTATATATACCTCGTACAGATTATACAGACTCGTACAGGTCTCTAGTACTCTGTTTTAAGTACGCTATTTTTATCCCTAATTATCTCATTTCAATGAACATTCCTTTGTTGTCTGCATTGTTTACTGTCTATTTATACTGCTTTTTCTGCATTGTTTGCACGGTTTGTTGATGCTAATACTGCTATTTTGTTATATTACACAGCCTTATGCTGGTTTACTGTCTGCACATTGAGAGCCGATGTACCTGAGTCAAATTCCTCGTGTGTCCAACACACCTGGCCAATAAAGCTGATTCTTCTTCTTCTTCTTTACTTTGATGTGCTCATCAATATTAAATGTGCGAACTAAAGAATCTCATTCATTCAAGGAGTGGATAATGTGATGGTGACAGCACTAATTAAATATGTATATATATATATGTATAATTTCTACTATCTGACTTCAGTTCACCACTCACCATCTGTATTACCAATTCCTCGTCTCTCAAATGCGCATACACCTGGGTCAGAGTTTACTTACAGCTGGGTGCATTCACCAGTCAGGGTTGGCATTTATAGATCACAGTCTGTGCACAGGAAGTGATGTAGGCCACTTTCAGTCCCTGTTTTGTGCTTATGCCACATTTATAAATGACACTCCAGCTGTGTCTGTTTGCTGTTTGGTGCTGAGCAGGTAGTGGGTGGCTTTTTAGAGCTTTTCACTGAAAACAGCTGAGAATGCCATGATACAGGTGAGAGCAGATGAAAGCAGTAAAGTTGCGGGTCAGACAGCTGAAAAGTGAGCTGAGATTTGCCATAAAGCTGCATCACACCGAGGGGCACTGCAGATTTCAGTGGTGATTCTCTATAGGTTCCTCACCATGAGTAAACCCTTTCTTATTGTCACTGTCATGATTAATATATTGATTATAGCTGCTTTAAGTGAAGTATGTAAACACATTTCACTCCACTGATAGAGGTGATAGTTTGAAGAACAGGTGGCCATAAATATAAAAATAAAGAGGGAAGAAGACAAAAAAATAAATCCCAAACACACATGTTTGTACTTTGAGAGAACACTCATTGACACAATAAGGTAAGAAGGTTTTTCAAATTGCATTCAGCATTTCCTGTGAAATATCAGAGCTTTGTGTGTTTTTGTGTGTACTGACAACATGAAAGCCATTTGTCATATATCATTATTATTTTCATTTGACATCTGCGCTTCAGGTTTATTACAACACAGGAGGCAAACTTGTGTTTGTTTGCTGGCCCACAAAGTTTTTTTTTCTAAACCGCAATGGATGGTAAACAAACAGGAAGTGATGTACATCAAGTTCCCGGTACGGGCTGCGTAACAGCAAGGAACTTTCCTTTGCCTATAAACATTTTTCACAGCTTCCACCTGAAACTTTGTCATAAT